TGGCTAATTTATGTGAGAACATTAATACACATAATTTTATAACCAATTTGAGCATCGTTCAGTGAATACAAAACTAATTACACTTTTAAAAGTCGATGATTCAATCTTTCACTCATAATTGTTAACCAAATTTGAGCATAGTTCAGTGAATGATGGTTCAATCTTCGACTTTCACAATTGTTAGGTATCATTTAATGGATAAAGAACCAATTATAGTCTTAAAAGTTGATAATTCAATCTTCCACCATCGTAATTGTCACCTTCTTAAAACGTCAATTCAACCATATATGAAACATCGTATGCAACATTAACCTACTCATGATTGATTAAAAGATGTGAGTATTGATAAAACACAACACCTTTATTAGGGTTAGTTTCGGACGAATACGAGGGTGGCCGACATCTCATACTCACTCATCCAATTACAAAACGACACTCACAAACATGTCGTCTCGTGCACTTCAATATATATATATATATATATATATGTATGTGAAGCAATCTCATCAATCAATCTAATCAAAATCTTGAAACCCTACCAACAATAATGAGATAATAAGAAAAATAAATTCTATCATATTCCTTCCACTTTCCCTCTTTTTTACATTATGCACGACATTTTTTATTCTACGTGTGTACTATCATTTATCGTCGTTTTATAACCTCGAACTTTGATAGAAACATATCTTAAAACATATCTTGATTTAGATCTTTGTCGATCTTTTCTTTGGTATGCACATTATTGCGAGAATTCAACTCTTCTTCCACTACTATTTTCCGTTTTTTTCAATTTGAATATGGTTTTAATACGATCAATAAAGATATTATCCTCCCGATAAATCTAAATTATAGTTATGACTAATTTTCATTATTATTCGAGTTTTTCGATATAAACTTCTAACTTTCAAATAAAAGAAGCAAATATCTTAATTATTAGACTGTGTTTATATTGATTAAATAATCCAACTAAGACATTGTAAAATGTGCTACAGGAATGCTGGGCCCATAAAAGTGTAAAAACCTCTTCCTAGCAGATGCGTTTTAAAAATCTTGAGTGGAAACCCAAGTCGGGCAAACCTGAAAAATAATCCAACTAAGACATTGTAAATGTGCTACAAGAACGCTGGACCCATAAGAGTGTAAAAAACTTTCCTTCATATGCGTTTTAAAAATCTTGAGGGGAAGCTCGAGTCAGGCAAACCCAAAAAAGACAATATCTACTAGATACCCTCGAACAAAGTACGCCTCCCCTTACTTGAGGCTCGACTCCTTTTCTCTTGGAGGCATAGTTGTAAGGAGCCTCGACTCCTTTTTTTTCTTTTGGAGTCCTTTGTTCGACATTTGAGAATTCTATTGACATAATTAAGTTTAGGGCATGACTCTGATACCATGTTAGATGAACACTTTGAGCATACGCTCTCATAGCTTTTTTTTTGGGGCTTCCCCCAAAAGACGTCACACCAATGGAGATAGTATTCCTAGATTATAAACCCATGGTCATTCTCTAAATCAGCGGATGTAGGACTTTTATCCAAGAGGCTTGAGTTGTTACTCAAAATGTCTTCAAAAGGTTAGATTTAACTTATTTACTTGACGGTTTAAGTTAGGTTGATCGAATTTTTTAAGTTATCTAGACGAATTTACATTGACAGTTTTACCTGATTACTTTATCGGGTTGGGTTCAGGACGTTATAAACCATGATCCACATACATTGTATGGGGAGTAAATATTGAACAACTCCATAACTTTAATAATAAATGATGTGAGGTTATGGTCCCATTTATTGTGTACTAAGGTTGTCCTTTTTTTACATATAAAAAAGGTAACAACATGACAAACGTCTAGGTTAATAGAGTGGTTTCGTTGACCCAACTCCCACCACTTTTAACTTCACTTTTGTTTTGTTTTTTACTCTTATTTACCTTCAACCATCAATTATAAATTTACCCTCCCCTTTCCTTTCTTTCAAAAATTTACCCCTCAACGTTCCAACAAAAGTTTACCACCTTTATCGGTAGATACTGATCTAAACAGCTTTACCGTTCGATGCCATGAATAAGATTGTCCGTGCTTATGGACACATTTACAGTGTACTAAACTTGTCCTAAAGAAGATGAAATAATTAGGTAACGAATATCGATGAAATCAATTGACTGACAGCAACAGTTATAGATGTAATGATTACGACTAAACCTATGCATAGTTTAATTGGTCAAAATGCGGTAACCTCTCTTTTTAGTTTACGATAATAACGATGAAACTTTAACCTTAAAAATAGTTTTATAACAATTTGATCAATTGAGTTGGGCTCGAATTAGTAAAAAAAAATATATATAAATTTTGCTACTTCAAATATAAATTTCTTTAAGTGATATCTCACACCGTGTAGATCCAATTATGGCCAACACCGGGTATATCTCGTGGTTTTGCTTTGGGCTTCCCCAAAAAGCCTTGTACCAATGGAGAGAGTATTCTTTGTTTATAAACGCATGATCATTTCCTAAATTAGCAGATGTGGGACTTTTATCCACTTGACAGAACCGTACATGAAATTTTCACCTCATACGGTTCCTCATTCAATTCTTTCGAAGTCATTGGATCATTTTTCTCGTTCGAGAATCTCTTCTTGTCTTCCATTTTATCTCGAAGAGTGACCGGGACCAATTCAATCACGTTTTTCATTCAATTCTAATTTATAATTTAACATAATTTTAAGATTAATTCTAATTTTCCTTAAATTAAAAAAAAAAGTATAAATATAGGTACATGGGGGAGACGAGGAGACAGAGCTGAAATGTCCAATCAAAATCCCTCCTCCATTTTGAAACTATTTGGGTTCCCACTGGTGGAACACGACGACCTTCCGCCGGCCACACCCGACGGTGGCGGCGGCGACGACACCAACTCCGACTACGACAGAAAATTCCGGTGCCAATTCTGCCACCGGGTTTTCGCCAATTCGCAAGCCCTCGGCGGCCACCAGAATGCCCACAAGAGAGAGCGCCAGAGGGCCAAACGCGCCCTTTATTTCCACGCCTCAGACCACCACCTCGCCGCCGCCGCCGCCGCCGTCGCACTCCGACCGGCGCCATTTTACTCAAGCGTTTTTCCGGCCAACATTGGTGGCGGTGGTGGTGGTCATCGTGGTTATAGATTTCTGCCTCGGAGCGATAACGGTTACTTCACGGCGGCGTACGGCGGCGTATCGGCGGGTTCGGGGCGGTGGATGTTTGGGAATTCCGGGGAAGGAGGTGAAAAGGGATCAACAGATGATGTGGGTGTTGTTGATCTTCATCTTAAACTTTCCCCATCTGGTTTGTGAACTTTGATTTATGAACATCAACGCTAATTTAATGGAATTTAGATTCTTCTTAGCTTAATTATCTCTTTATTTTTTCAGTTTAACAATTAATTAATGTTAATTAATGGAAATTACATGAAAATTTTGACATAATTTAAATTGTAAATAACATATGTGAATACAAAATTTGAGAAATCCCTTTATGATTTAATAAATACTTTTACATTATTCAACTCAAAGGTTGAATTTTTCAAAATTTTGGTTTGTTTTTTCGGAGGTACTAGGAAGATTATTATAGTATTATTATGGTTATTCTTTAAGGATTTAATTCTAGCTAGGGTTTGGCTTAGTGATTTAAGGTTGTGTGGTAAGCTTTCGGTTTTGCTACTAGTTGAGCTCGTGTTAAGATGAGTAAATTTGTTAGTAGACTTGCGAGCGTCACTCCAAGAGTGCATCGTTATGTGTTGCTTAGAGAATGCGTTGTGGCGAGTGGGAGTTGGGGTGTGTTCCCCTAGATGAGACGAGTGTATGTCAAAACTATTTGTCATGGTCTAGCTGGTGAATCACTAGATATTTCACATTTATTGGGGAGGAGAACGAAACACCCTTTATAAGGATAGATGTGGACGCGCGTTTTAATGCCGATGAGAAGAAAAAGAAGGCGTGATCCTTTTTCAGATCTCCTGGTCCCTGCGAAAGAAAGGTTCCGGGAAGGGAGGATTAAGAAAATCCTATTAGACCTCTAAGCATGAAAAAAAAGGCTCGAATGGTATGATCCCTCCGCTCCCAAGAATGAAAGGGGCGATCTCGTAGTTCTTGGTCTGCGAAAGAAAGGTTCCGGGAAGGGAGGATTAAGAAAATCCTATTAGACCTCTGGGAAAAGCATGAAAAAAAAGGCTCGAATGGTATGATCCCTCCGCTCCCAAGAATGAAAGGGGCGATCTCGTAGTTCTTGGTCTGTGAAGATACGTGGTTAAGTGCTCCGTTTTATTTTCCCATTGAGGCCAAACCTAAACCTGTGCTCGAGAGATAGTTGTCCATATACTGATAAGGGATGTATGGATTCTCGAGAAGAGGGGCCAAGGTGATCCCCCGAGACCGTCCGGATCCCACAAGTGAATAGAAAGTTGGATCTACATTGGATCTCACTTGAATCGATCCATCTATCCTCTTGAGGAGAAGTTTGGTTTCAAGCCCCGGTTCAAACGGGAGAAGTAGAGGGGAAACCCAAAACAAAAATCTCAAAGAGGACAATATCCACTAGCGGTGGTGGGCTTGGGCCGTTAGAGGGATACAATATCCACTAGCGGTGGTGGGCTTGGGCCGTTAGAGGGATAATCCGGGATAATCCACAACGCATGTTTGTGTATTAAGTCATCAAGAACTATGACTCTCGATGGAAGAGAGCTTGCCGCCGTAACTTCACGTTGCATATAATGTATTGCTTGTCAAACCATGTCAAGGAAAAAGAGAGAGAAATGTCATGATGAAACTGAGAAAGATAGTGCATTTTTTATTTTATCACACCATGAGATAAACAAGATAAGAAATGATAGCGTCGTAGATGGTATTAGACACAAGCTTAATGAAGGTAGATAAGGCTTTGCCCATGACTTCAAAAGCTAAGGTTGCGTGCATATAAGTGTAAGGTGCATATACTAATTAATACTAATTATGAAATGGGAAACAATCTATTATAAAATTGGACACCAATTACAAACAGCCACAAAATGATATTGAGCCATCAATTTTTAGGGATTATCTGAGATCCTAATATATTTGATTCAAAAGGAATAATAAAATAAAATAATTGAATCCATGAAAAGATCGGTGCGAACTCCATCGCTACGTCTTCCTCCCATGCACACATATTTCATTAAAACAAGCTTCTTCTTCCTTTCCATTTCAATCGTTGCGATGTTGACGCCTCATTTGCTCGTAAAATTGCGCGATGAACTCCTCTGCCTTTGCATCGATCATCTCATCGCCTCCATTGTCGTCTTCAATGACATTTTTGTCATTGTCGTCATCGTTTCTACCATCGAGTTCTTGAAGATTGATAGCAGAAGCGTACTTACTTGTGCCAAAAGAAGAGGACCTCGAAGTACGAGTAAACGACAACGACGATGATGGTGATGATGGCGATAATGACCATGTCGTTGGCAACTCCTCTAAATTCTTCTTTGATTTCAATGGAGGCAATGACATGGGAGGGGATTCATTTCCTTGGACGTGGAGAGGGCGCATTGAGCCCACCAACCGCCGCCACACGCTCTTATCCGAGCCCGTGTCGACGGTTGCCTTCGATTTGTTGGACCGACGGCGGAGCATGAAGAGTGCAACCTTGAAGATCTTCATAACTCCGCCACTTTTCTTCTTGGCCTTGCCGGAGTCGGCGGAGGGTTCAACGTGCGGTGGTGTCGGGTCCATATAAGCTACGTGAGTGAGCGGAAGGGAGGGTCGAGTAGCCGGGGTGGTCGGAGGCCTCTCCCGGAGCAAAGGAAAAGGCAAAGGCAGAGGCAAAGACAAAAGAAGAAGCTAAGTTATAGAAGAAAGGGGAGGGATGGTTTGTTTTATAAGAAAGATGGGTTCCGCCATTTATGTGTAAATTTGGAAAGGTTTATATTTAGGGGAAAAGGGAAAGAGCCCTAAATGGAAAAGTCTTTGAATATTACATATTTAGTGGTTGAGGCTTCTCTTGTAGTTACAGGTTTGGTGAATCAAATCAAAATACTTTTTGTGGTCTCTATAATCGTTAATCCATCATTATTAATCTTAATTATAATTGAAATTTGACCATTATTTTGAGGTTAAGAAGGATTAATTTACCTAATAGCTTAGTGTTGTAGCATTTCATATCGGTATTTTGGTTGGCTCTTCTTTTGAATATTTTGAACCATTTTCTCTCGGTAATTAATAAGAAATCAAAGTTCAAACATGATGGTTGAAAGATGATTGTTGAGGATTATTGGGAGTGAGTTCTTCCACGTTGGTTAATTTAGTGGAAGATCATGGGTTTATATGTGAGGAGAGTCGTGATTTCTAACATGGTATTAGAGCTATGCCCTAAACTTAACCATGTCAATAGAATCCTGAAGTGTCGAACAAAGAATTGTGAGCCTCGATCGAAGGTGTAGTCAAAAGTGACTAAAGTGTCGAACAAAAGGTGTACTTTGTTCGAGGGCTTTAGAGAAAGGAGTCGAGCCTTGATTAAGGGAAGGCTATTCGAGAACTCTATAAGCCTCAGCTGAAGCTTATAGGGTACTTTGTTCAAGGGGAGGATTGTTGAGGATTATTGGGAGTTAGTCCCACATTAGTTAATTTAGTGGAAGATCATGAGTTTACAAGTGAGGAATACTGTCGCTCCATTGGTATGAGGCCTTTTGGGGAAGCTCAAAGCAAAGCCAGCTCAAAGTGGACAATATCAAACAATTGTAGAGAGTTACGATTTCTAACACAAATCTCTCTTAGAAGTTAGTAATCGTATAGTAATCGTATAGCATGTGGTATTTTCTCATGGAGCTCCGCCTTGTGTCTTAAGTTCATGAAGAGTCTTGGCCACTCGACGCCCCATGGCCAGCTGCATTACGGTGATCGCGAGCTCTCCTTGACGAGATGCCGATTGTCCATGTCAAGATGCAGCACCCTTATGGGGTTGATTAGGTGAGAAGTTCATAGCTGAGTTCTATGACCAAATGAAAATGCAAAGACAAATTTCATTTTCCCAATGTGAAAAGTCATTGAATAAAACAAGAATGTATACCATCCCTTGACTGCACGAGACAGAACGTCTCTAAATTGTAAAATTTAGTCCCACATTTATGTGTATTTGGTTATGAACCAAACTTACATAAAACAGAAGTAACCAAGAATAAATTTAATCAACGCATTAATTTAGGAGGGCTATCTACATAAAATGGAATGATACATAAAAAAGCCTAACTTAATAAGTAGTGTAAAACCTTTTTATACTATTTTTGTCGCATTCATAATACACACATGAAATCAAGATTCTTTTATGCTAGGGGGCAAAAAATAAACCAAAACTTCACTGGCAAATCAAGCTCTGCCACTGCCACTGCCAAGAACACAATCATCTGGATCCAACTACAGTTACTTGTATGGTATCACGTACAGCTACAGTAAAGTACCTCGTATTGGAGTTCGTCGTCATAGTACGCCTTTGACCCAGCAAAAAGAATCAAGTTCTTCTCTGCACGATAATTATGGATTGAAGGACGGTCAAATATTCAATAAAGAAATTAATTGCTGATAAGCGCCAAAGGCTGGATTTGCAAAGCTAGAAGTCCTTTCAGGGTCTTTGCAAACTTTTACAAATAAAGCTAACTTAACGAATCATTCCAACCAAGAGATAGTTAAAAGGATGAATAACTCTTAATTGCTTCTTCGGGTACATGAAATGGATCAATGGTTGGATTCATATCAATTGCTTTACACATGAAATTGTTTTACCTTGAAAGATTGTGGGAGTAAATAGTTGCATCAACTTCCATTCATTTGCTTTTCAAGATATAAGTCTAATTGCCCAGTTGCCGCCAGTATAAAACCTTCAAAAGTAGTGTTAAACGTTAATATATTAGGTCATGATTTTAATAGCGAAGATAAAAAAATGTTGTAATATAAACAAACAGATACCAACACTCATTTTGATGCTCTCACTAATCCAGGAACTGCTTCTCCAAATTATTTGATGACAAATTGACAATTGGTATAATTTGCAAATTATCAGACTTTTTCAATAGTTTAGAGATGAACAAAAATATTATTCTCCATCCAGTCACTACTCTGAACCACGTACCTCCATATATTCATGAGCCATCAAATTAGAGTGCTTCCAATAATAACAGTTGAGAGATAAATATGTTGAAAGCAATGAAAATGCTACGAGGTATGAACAGGATAAACAGGACAAGTGGACAAAGAATTCATTGTCAAATAAATTTTACCTAGAAAGACAGGTGACGGCCTCCGGGGCCGTGATTTAAATTCTGGATGAAATTGTACACCCACATAGAAGGGATGGCTTGGAAGTTCTAAAATCTGAAGAAATACATAAAATCACAAATATAGTTTACTAATTTGATTCATAACAGGAATGAACTGTATCATTTGATGACTTTGAAGAGCTGGAATGCAATTAACAACTTAATTTTGACACCTGAAGATGACTGAGAACTATCACGTACCTCCATTCTTTTTCCAGTCTCATCCTTCCCAACAAATTTCAGGCCAGCTTCTTCAAATGTCTCGATGAACTCTGGGTTTACCTGCAACATAATGATTTTGCTCATGTCACAATCATTCGCAATCATTAGACTTGCAGCCATAAACTTTAAAAACTTACCTCATATCTATGCCGATGCCGTTCATCTACATATTCTGAGTTATGATACCTATCCATCCAGGAAGAATTAAAAAGAGCAGGATAAGTACTACAAAAAACCACGGCCAAGTGCAAAAACTTTAGTTTCCCCAGAAAAAATCGCAAACGATTTAAATGCTTTAGGTTGAACTGGGGCCATAACGAAACCAGCCTTGTGTTTCTATCGGCTTGAAGAAGAGACAAGTACTATAGAAAGTTAAATAGCATATATCAGCCATAATTTCTTGTGGGCGAACAAACCATTTGCATTAGACTTCCTAATGACAATATATATTACATGGGTAAATGAGTATTCAATACAACTAACTGATGCTAATCATATAGATACTTCAAATGTAGTTTCTCCAAAAAGTAATACCAGGGTGAAGCAAACTCATCGTTAAATATTTAAACGTAAAAGAAATAAGAAATCACATACATCCTTTTAGTAATACAGTCAGCAGTCTGGAATACTGTTCTTCGAGATCCTAATCTCATAGTGCTTCCCATATGTGTCTTTGAACCCTACACATGAATGCAAAGGGAAAGAAGTCCTAACAGATAACGTTATAGAAGTAACTGAGCAGAAAGCAACATACAAATTGTCATTCAAGAAATCAGTACCTCAGGCATAAAAATGACAACAGGATACAGCGTCCCATCATCAAACTCTGTACTGTTTGCCTTTTCCCAACCCAAAACCTAAGACAAAGAAAACATAAGAGGATGGTAACAGCAACGACTGAAAGAACATGAATACAAAATAAGAAACGGAAGTTTGCTTATGAAAAAAAAAAATTCTTACACTTCCAGCGAACTCAATTACAGATATCTGCATGCCTAAGCAAATCCCCAAGTACGGAACTTTGTTTTCTCTGGCATACTTTGCAGCCAATATCATGCCCTTCACACCCCGATCTCCAAATCCTCCAGGAACTAAGACACAGGCTGCTTTCTGAAAGAATAGATTGTCAAGAAGGATCAGAAAGGCCTGAAACCAAATGCCACAAAAATCCCTCCCCCTTTGTCCAGCTTTTAAACATACCAACGTAATTTTATGATTTTCAACACTCCATTTTCAAAACCAAAATTATTGAAAATCACATCATAAAAACACATTAATTATACAACTAGAAGCCACCCTGCTTCCAACCCAGCTTTCCAAGGAGAGATGTTTATATAACCATTCCTCCCTCAACAGAATTGGCTGCTTCAGAAAATTGAACAAAAAAAAAAAAAAAAAAACCCC